ACTGGCAGATTAGGGACACCAGGTTGTTCTCCAAGCAAACATCAAACAGAGAATGAAGCCGTTCAACATGCTCTCCATCTCCTTCTTCTCCATCCCTCAATCGGTCATCATGTTTCCAGGAAATAAGGCCGGCCTCAACACACTCGTAGTAAAGACGAAACGGGAGACTATCACCGCCCTTGGACAAGTGCATTCGGCATATGGGGCAAACATCACACCTCTGACTACACTCATCGCACAAGGCAGCATGTCCACAGAATACCAAAACCCTCTGAACACGCCTCCCGCAGCTCCTCAAATCCCTAGTCGCCCGACACCTCTCGACTTTCGCCTCGTTACAAAGCTCGATTGGCTCAATCGACGCCAGGCGAAGCAGTGCCTTCTGAAAATCATCGCAAATGGCTCAAATGTCAAACAACTGATGGACTGATACTACCCAAAGCCAAAAAAATCGAACATAATCCAAGGTTTCAAACAAGAAACGCGAAAAATAAAGGGCAACAAATTTGGGGAAAAGCCGAATTGCGAGCGACGTGAATGGAAGAATGTACCTTGCTCCGGGAGGCAGTTGGGTCGGCGGACCACGGACCAACCATTTTCCTATACTGTGCAAAGAGGAGTACACAAAATCGAATGCAAAATCAAAAACTGTATCAATTTCAACTTCAACTGATGCAGGAATTGCTTGGTGGTTTGAGAGGGCGCTGATAGGGTTTAAGGAAAGGAACAAACTTTTGAGTTTCGAGAGCTCCGTTTGGGTTTAACTGTTTTCAGATTTTACTTTATACGACGGTTGATTCTAGTCGGCGTATTGAAAATTATATTACGGTTGTTGTTCAAGCCTCGATTGGGAAACGAATCAAGTATGCTCGCTAGCTGCTCGTTAGAGCTCGAGTCAAAGTTTGATTAAGCACAACTGCACAAGTCCTCGAGTCAAAGTTTGATCAAGCACAAGTTCAGCTCGAGCATTTTTAACTAATGATTTGAAAATTGGATGAAAATGCATGTTGCTCAAATTTGGATAGACAAACAGAGCAACACATTGCACGTTGAGTCACTCGTCAAATTTGAGTTAATTCGATTTTGACCAGAACACGAGTCATTCGAGCATTTCGAACTTAAATTCAAGTCCAACTTGAACTTATATTTTATAAAATGGGACCTGCTCGAGTAGAAGTGTAATTTACGTGAATATCCTAATTCGAGCTATATTCGAGTCAAATTTAACAAACTCAAGAATAATTCTTATTCAAATAGAACTTTTTTTTTTATTTGAAATCTGAGTCCAACTTTAAACGATCTCAAAAATTCTATATTTTTATCGAGTCAAGCCGACCTTAAAATATCGTGGGCAAAATCAAGCCGTCTATAAAAATAGCAGGCCGTTCATCGTTGCATATGTGTTGGATTTGTTTTAAATTCGCAATGGGCTTGGATTTATTTGTTTGGCCCAAAACGTTTTATTCTCCTTACTTATTTTGTCAGTTAAATTAAAACAATAATAAATTTGCAGGAGCTTATATGTATATAGTCCCGCTCACCTGTCCACGGTGGACAGTGCTCACCACTTTATTTTACGTTTTTCATGTAAAAAAAAGTGGTGGGCACTGCACACCGTGGGCAGGGGATCAAAATTACTTATATATATATTATATGTTGCATGCAGATATAATGGGAGATCGTAACGTCTAACTCCTCTCTGCCCTCTTGCTAATTATGTTAAGACTAAATGATTACGTAATTATTAATTAGGTGATTATACACATAATATTGAAATAGAATGATTAAAAAGAGTGATATATAACATCCTGGTTTCAATATTATTACCAACTTATCTCTATAAACTATGTGACCCCGCGCATACAAACTCATGCATGCACCATGTATTCAGCTACTTCACCTATATGTTGTTGCCCGTGATCACCGGAACAACAAATGAAAATCTTCCGGAACGGATGAAAATCTTTGAATTCACTGTTAAAACCGGTCTTCTTAAGCAAGATGAACCTTAACGATAAATGGTACTTTCTCCGATGCCGGTGGTCGCTTATGCCTCACTTAGTCATTGAATGGCTTCAACGAAACAAAGAGAGTTTTACGACTTTGTTTGTGATGGTTTAGGCTGGTCTTCCATTCGGGCCTATTGGGATGGGCACTATGGCCCAATGTTTATTATAACTTGGGCGTAAAAGCTGGTTGTACAAAGTTTGTTTGTTCATACATGCACTATGACTGGGGGCATATTGGTTAAGTAGTTAGTTCATCACACAAGCATGTTAGGGGTAATTGTTTACCACTTCAACTAAAAAAATCAATCAAAACTCAAATTTAACACAACTTCAACTCAACTCCATTATCTTCTATATTATCAATATAATTATATAATATCAACCAATCATTCTTACACATCACATCAATTTTAATTCATTAATTATTCATTCACTCATATAATTTTAACTAACTATCACTTGCAATAAATTTTTCTCCTAATTTACATCAAATCAACTTTAATTATTTTATTTAAATATTATTTTAATATATTCACTAACAACTAACCATATCATCTTTTTTCAAAATTAACTATAATTAAGAAAAAACTAGTTGAATCCACAAAAATTATGTCTTTTCATCGCAGTATGGCAACATTCCTTCCCAGTTAGTTATTTGAATATCACTCTCCTTTGGTGTCATTGCTCCACTTTGATTGTGCACACATTGCTCCACTTTGATTGTGCACACTCCCAGCCCTACTTTCCCAACTTTACGTAATAACTCTCCATCTTTTATGTTTTATTAACTTTTTTTTTAGATTTGACACCAATCATCTGTCATTAAATTATAGTTAATTTAAATTATACAAAGTGTTAACCTAATTTTATTTTATCTTTTAATTGAGATATAACACCATGTTTTTAGTTTTAGTTTTGTGGTAGAAGACACCTGATTAAATAAGGTTTCCTTGTCCTTGCCTGGTGTAGATTATCTCAATTTAAGCAAATATCCATGAACATATATTGTAGATAGTTTTATCAAATACATAGGAATTAACTCTTCTTAAATGGTGTACTTGTATACAGCATCAATATGAACTCTTCTACGAACTTCTATGAACTCTTCAATGTGGTAGATAATTTAATGGAGCACAACGTGAATAATGAACTCTTCTAATAATCCTTCATCTTCGCATGTCATAAAATGTTCTAAAAAAATACAGTCCTTTTCTTTGATATACTATGTTTAGCCACAAATTTCATAGGCCGATCTAGGACTCGATCAAACCCGAAGTCAGAACCGGTCTGAGAGATTATTCGGATTGAGTAACAACGGACCTGGTGGCCGGACATTGACCCGTTATATTTTTTTAAAGTGACTTCAGTTTAAAACAACAACTATATATATATATATGAGTTGGTTCAAATAAAAACTATGCTGGTGTGAAAACCGTGAGAATCATATTTAATGCTATTTATAATTATGTATGATGCTATTTTTAACACACAAGGTGCAGACAGTTCTAGCCAGTTCGAAACTAAAGCTTTGCACGATTTTTAGCTTTTTTCTTATCATTTTCACAAATGCTAATAAAAATTGTATTGCTAATTTAATAAAATAAATCTATGTTAAAAATAGTACTAAAACACAATTAATCATAGCACTAGGTACAATTAAAAATAGTGGTTCTCACGGTTCTCACGCTACTGCCGTTAAGGTTGCCCATCACTCAATCGGCATGACGATCACCCGTGAAAGCTTCCCTATGAAGACTGACGATCACCCTAACCGTCTGAACAAACCTGATAAAGTTGATAGCACTGCCTAAGATGTTCCGTAAACTTTTTCATGAAAACACGTGATGTCACCATACGCCAATAGCTTGCGCTCTTCATTTAAAGCACCAACACCTTTTTTCGTGTAAAAGTGCCGGCCCTTGATAAGTCGAAAAACGTGCTCGCTTTAATCGCTTAATTTTGTAATAGTGCACGTTTATTTACTCGTATTTATGTGATTTTCGACTTATTTAATATTATGATCGATTGTGGTGCCTTGATGTGTTTCTTGAGTGTTTTCAGAGTTTTGGGATTACTGTTAGCAAGCGACGACGTTGAATGTAAGACGTGAGCTCGACAAATTTTTGTTTGATGTAGTACTGAGGTACCCAGTACTTCGTTCCAGCGCCCCGTATTGGCCAGTAGGTCAATGTACGTGGGCTGAAATTATTAAAAGCGGAAGTGGCTGGGTGGACTTAGAAATAAGAATAAAAGATTTGTGACTTTTGGAGGGCAAGCATAAGGAAAGTGACGTGGCCTGAGGGAATTTGATCTTTCTTTGGAGACTTTGGTTTAATATATTACCTAACATTGGCGGCTGTGACCTATCATTGAGGAGAGAGGCTGGGAAAAGAGATTGAAGGGGAGAAAGCAGCAAGAGAACGAGCCGACAGAGAAGAATTTCTTAATATCTTTTTTTTTCTTTTCTTGTGTAATTAATTTTAATTCTATGAACATGTTATTGAACACTATGAGTGAGTAGTCTTTTAATTCTAGTTTCGAGAAAGTTGAACCCTAAGACTCGACGAATGTTTGATTAATTCTCTTGATTGATAATTTCAATATTTTTTGGAAAAAAAAAAATATTCGAGCCAGCTTAAAAACAACAAATTTAAATGTCAGCTTAAGAAGATAATTTTAAATGCCAGCTTAAGTAATCCTAAGACAACCCAGACAAATCCAAAAAAAATATCATCACGATCATTATTACTCTACTTTATATTATGACTATGATCTTCTGAAATATCATATACAAAATATTCGACTAATCCCCATACAAAATCTTTAATAAAACTTTGGAGAAAACATCTCATTGTCGATCGCCACATGAGCCAATCGGCAAAATCGATGTCTTGCTTTATTTTTACGCACAATTATTCTTGCGATCTCTTTATTTTTCACATCACTAAAATTTACAATAATTATATCATAACCCCCGATTAAACAACCTTCAACACGATTTTCGTAACTGTTGGCAACCCGCCTGTTTGTCTTATTTTTGTTACATTTTTCGTTGTTATTTTACCTTTATTTTTCTCCTGTTTTAGGTCGTTTATTTGATTTTTAGTTGTTTTTGTATTTTATTGCGTGTTTTCCTTCATTTTGAGTTTTTCCATGTTTTTCTTTCGTTTTCGGGTTTTCTCCGTTTTTGTTATCGTTTTTGGTGTGCAGGTCTGAAGCTTCGACTGGATAGGACTTCAAGAATAATATTTTCATGAACGCATAATTAGCAAGGGATCATTGGCGACAAGTAAGAAAAAGCGGAACTCAATTCCGAGTTCAGACGAGCTCAAACAAACCCAAAACACGAAGTCGCGCGAAGCACGCTTTTGGTGTGCAGGTCATAAGCTTTGGGAGAATAGGATTTCAGGAAAATATTTGATAAGAAAGCATAATTGATAAGAAGGGTTCGATGGCGACGCATAGGAAAAAACGACACTCAATTCTAAGTTCGGACGAAGCTCAAACGAACCTGAAGCACAAAGCCGCGCAGCCCAGACCCTAGCGGCGCTAAGTGTGGCATACTAGCGGCGCTGCGCAGGCTAGCGAGCAGCAGAGACTTCCGACATTTGTACCCTAGCGGCGCTAGGGCTTGCTGCGGGCATATTTCATGTTTTTCGTTCTTTCTCCTTTTTTTGTTTGGTTTTTCGAGCCCTATATATTGAACGAACCATTAGACTTGTATTCTATCCCTCAAACTCGTTTTTCCTCATGCTCTTACCCTAAAACTTGAATCTTACATTTGAATTTCATCTTGATTTCTTATATATTTTCGAATTAAGCATGTACTTCAAATTCCACATTGGATTTATTTATCAATCGTAAGTTTTCCTTTTCATTTAATCCATGGATATGATTTCTTCGATTGTTGAGATTGTTTGTGTTGGATTAAATATGAGTGGCTAAACCCAATTGCTAGGGATAGGGGATGATGTTTTGATTTCGTTTGTGATTATTGTGTTTGTTAATTGTTCAATTTATATGAGTTATTCTTAAATAGTGTTTTCGATGATTATGCTTGAATATTAAGAATTGTTGAAGGGTGACACTTCAATCTCTAATTGAATTTTCAATGTTCGTTCTCGCGTGATGTAGTTAATTCTAAATGGACTAGTTGATTAAAATCTTTTAGGATAACTGAATCGGCTCTTAGAACCGAAAGGGGAGGAACTGATCGATCTAGGCTCGTATAAACTAGACTTGTTTGTAACTGTATTGCCTAGGTGTTAAATGAATCTTTAATTTGTCGTTCCACGTTTGTTTTCTTGTTACGAAAAGTTATTGAGGATGAAACTCTGAACGAGTAGGTTATTCGAATCATTTAACCGAACAATCACTTGCCCGTTAACTGCAATTCGAACCAAAACAAATATTCCCCAGCTCCCTAGCTTCTTATCATTGTTTGATCATCATTTTTGCTTTGAATTTTGATTTTGCTTTGTTTGAGTTCTCTTATCTAATAGTTTAAATATCAAACCAATTTTGTGATTGAATACACGAGCAAAGTAATCAAGTCAACTTTCCTCGAGAGATCGACCCGGGGAACAAATCTTTTGATTCGGCACTCGGTAAATAACATAATTTGCTACGATACCGCCGTCAACATTTATTATGAGATACAATATTATTAACAATTTGATGTACAAAATTTGTATAAAAAAATTAACTTTGTTACTTTTATATATATTTATATAACACAAATCTTATTTGTCACTCACCAGCTGTGTACTATGTGTGTAAATTCAAAACATAACAATTTTTTCTATTTGAACTGTACTCAAGGAGATTTGATAATAAAAATAGGATTTTTATATTGAAAAAAAAAATATATAGTAAATATAAGACCACTCAAATTTAATCCATAAAAATACCAATTCAAAGTTAATAATAAAAAAATGCAATTTAAAAATTAATAAGAGAATCAATAATATATCATTCATAAACAAAAATTATTACTATATTTTCAATTTTTCTTTAAAAAAAAAAAGAAACCTTTCGTAAAAGTGCAAATAAAAATATAGGTGATGGAGTAATTCCCTCGTAGAAATAATATTTCACATGAGGATATAACTTTTTAATATGGAAATCATTAACGACATGATTAGTATAATGGAATGGAATTTGAATGAGTTGAAAAATAGAATTGTTGATATCTATTCTAATTAATATGAACTTTTAATTAAGATGTAATAGGTAGCTTTATGAGGGGGTGAGGTGATAGACTTATTAGTATTTTAGAATAGATGTAAGAATGAATTAGACAAAATAGTTTTTGTTTCTTGAAAACACAATTCATTACTCACACATCTTTTCGCATCATACATATATTTATAGTGAGGAGAAAAAAATTCTAGACTCTTAAAAGTCGGCAATTTCAACCGACTTTTTTTTTTT